GCGCAGCAGCAGTGAGGCCACACGCGCGTGCCGAGCGATCGACTTCAAAAAAAATGTTCGGGGATTGCGTGGAAGTGGCGCAGAACTACCGGGTGGAGTACTTCACCGCCATCGCTTACGACACGTGGGGGACTCACATCTTGCAAACGCTAAATGGCAGTTATTTACCATCTTCAGCAGACAAAAAGGGCATGTAATGTGCACAGAAATGAGCTCCTGTTTTGCAACTTTTGTTTTTTTTCTACGAGCATATGAAACTCGCCCCATAACGTGTTCAATCCATGTGCACAACTTTCATTCATTACGCACAAACTTCTTGTATTGTATGGCTAATGAAGAACAACGATTAGATATTCAGTTGTAAGTCTTTGCCATTCAATTGTTTTGAGAGTTGGTGAATTGCAGATACGTACAACCACCTCCAAATGTACACCCCGGGCAGTGTGAAAATATACGTTCTGTGGACCATATACACACAGTAACATATGCAAACCGGCTCCTACTAGCTGCCGAGGGCACTGCTTGTGCGACCCCGTCGATCCCTAAAAATAGCGTGTCGTCGCAAAAAAAAAACACGCCCATCGATTTTTTAAGTAGCGCATGTGACAAAGCTTTGCCGAGGGCGCTTCCCCTATCGATGGCCAAATTGATCATTAAATATTACCTTTGCGAGAAACACATTTTCTGTTAACCAAGCACAAATGATAAATGTTTTGGAATCCTCAACTGCTGGCATAACAAGCGGGTAAATAATTACATAACAGTTCGAAACGTCATTTCGGACATTCGGTGTGGAGGCACAGACGCTTGCACACGAGGCCCCATGCCCAATACTGGCAGCCGCGTTGTGCACATCACCCCTTCCCTTCTCTAATCCATTGGCATCTCACTAGAAAAACCTATAGCAAAATTACTTTACATCTGCAAGCCTTTGCTATATATATGCACAGAACTATGCAAATCATAAATAAAATTATCCAGAGCATTGTGGTGGCATGCAAATTCACTTCCTTGGCAAGGGTCCGCAATGGTGTATGAAATACAGAGTCGAGGGGAAGAAAATACCCCCCCTGATACCGTTTCACTCATACTCCATAAAAAAAAGTTATACACACATTTATTTTTTGGCAGGATTCGGTATGTGTGCACAAGCGATGTTTTTTTTACATGAGCTAACAGGAAATTAGGTTACTGGAGATGAGAAATTATACATTTTAATCTCTGCTCGGACGTAATTATACTTTTATGGACTGCAGTCGAATCGTTGAACCGAATAAACTGGCAATGTGGCTTGAGAGCACAAAAAGAGGAAACCATCACCGTCATTCGTGTTTTCAAAATCTTGAGTTGTCTCTTTCCCATCAAGCATTCCGAAAAGGGAGGCACTGCAGTGCCCCCCTGCTTTACACGAGACACTTATCATCATCAGCCATATCTGTGCAATGCTGGATGAAGGTCTTCCCAAGGTGTAAACATCAGCATGGTTGGCTACGTATGGTGCCAAAAGGCATCAACAATACATACATACTATACTCTTTGGTTCTATTGGGTAAAGTCACGTAGGTGAAAATAAAATAACAAAAAATCACGACGTTTCGGCCACAACACAAGCGGCCTTCATCAGGTGAAGGGACGAGACTGTCTGGAGGACAGCGCTGGAGTGAGAGAAGCCACGCTTAGATCACGACCTTTAAGCTGTGTGAGATGAAAACAAAGCGCCTTGACAAAGGAATTAGCATATAATTTAGCATTGAAATGGCTCATTGAAATAGCTAAGTTAAAGTATACACATCCGCAGAGGTACCCCTTGACAAGGAATTAGCATAGAATTTAGCATTGAAATAGCTGAGTGATTAGCTTGTAACTGGTCACAGAAATAGCTATTTTAAAGTCAGAGCATATACATTCACCGAGGCACCTAGTACTAATCAAACAGGAGAATTTAGCGAAACACAACCACGCTCAGACAGCGGACCTTTAAACTATGTGCGGGCAAACAAGGTGTTCTGACAAAGAAATTAGCATAAAAATTAGCATTTGATTGGCCGATTTTAGGAAAGAGGTGGTGTACGTGCCGGTAGACTTGCCGTTTGGCGCGGGGGGGGGGGGGTTACCTATTGATGGTGTGAAAAGGGAATTTATAAGAGCTGCGAAAGTTTGGGGTACCACTACTTGAAAAAATATACTTTACCATTGAAATTAGTTTAATGTTTAGTTCGATTTAGAACATCTTTCCAATGGTTGCTTAATTTGAAACCATCTTCTCGGTTGAAATTGTGTCTGTGTTTGTAGATCTGAATTACTTCATGAACAAATCTCTGATAAAAGCCCGTGGGTTTGCAAAGAACCTTGGTATCGGTATTGGTATACATACTAACTAAAAAAAACATTTTTATCAGTTAAGGGCCGGTGAACTACGCAGCTCTTTATCATACGCGACCTGGCCAAAAATGATAACCTCAGCGAAGTGGCTCATCACGTGGAAATTTATAACAGCCAAATACCCTAAACGCACATTTCTAAATGTGGAGGGAAAAACTGGAGGACACGGAGAAAAATCCACACGACCACGGGGAGAGAGAGAGAGACAACATGCAAACTCCAAATACACATGAGTCAGGGTCAGGATCGAACCCACGACCTCACGTATACCCAGCAAGGTAGTTAACATCTCGCCACCGTGGCACCCTCCATTGCAGGATCAACATCCCTCGCGATCCTGCAATGCAGCAATTCGCCTGACCACTCTCGTCGCTCCCTGTCGCTCACTGCTCGCTCGTCTGCCACTCCACCGTTCGCCTTGATCACCAGCCATGTTCACTCGTAGCGATGCGTCCTGCCCAAGCCCACTCACTTTTCTGAACAGACACCGGCTCTGCATTTGTTATCCGATCCATGAGCTCCTCTTTCTGTCTCCCCCTATGCTTTTTTCTGCTCTTTTCAGCTTTCATTAAATTTTCTTCAAAGAATTTCCCCGTTTCAGATCCATACGTCACAGCAGGTAAAGTGCACCGATTAAAACCATTTCCCTTCAGCCACATTGGTATGGTGATTTCCATCACCTATGTGCATGGGTAAAGTACCCAACGGTGCTCGTTATTTTGAAGAAAGACCTTTTCGAAATCCATCCTTCTCACGTAGTTTTTTGGCCTCTAAATGGTTTGTTATCCGGCTTACAATGGTGAGAAGGGGCAAGCACTGGCAGCGTTCACAGGGGACAGCACATTAGCACGGTTGGCTACATACGGTGCGAAAGAAGTTCAACATATATACATACAACTGGAGCGATCAGCTCGCACAGGTGGATGAATTAAATTGCAGAACCATGACGGATGGCGACAGCTTGGGAAATAACTCGTCCTGCGGAGGCTGACGACGATTAATTGACATCGAGTTGTAAAACTTAAAGCTCAAAAATAAAATTGCAAAAGAAGAGGAAGAATCAAAATAAATCTCCGACGATTGATATCTCTTGCAGTCGCGTTGAAACAGCTCAACCAGAAAAACGGGAGACTCTCAGCCGTGAGGCCGCAGGCTTTAATCACGGTCAGTGCCACTGTGCCATCGTCCCACCGAGGTCGGTTTAATTAGCGCACCACCAAGGGGTGGGAAGTCAACGCTGGGGAGTCCTCAAGAGAAACTCGGCCCCACCAAATTCATGGGAGATTTTAAACTCTGCCTTGGGGCCCAACGTGGAAACGAGCTAAGTTCGAGCCTGGGGGTTACTCCGAAGGCGTTTACATAATTAGGGAGCAATCGCACAACAGATGTGTCACGAACAATGTTTGAAAACGTATAAGCATTCGACTCGTAGAACCCGAATCACGTGGCTCTCTTTGGCCATCGCCCCCCGTCACTTTTTGGTGGAATGACGGCCGTTTCAGCATAAAATCAGGCAAACTGGGCATTTTGCGATTCACGTGGGCGTCCACTTGGTACAAAAACACATCCATTCAGCCACCACTCACATTCTGTGCAGTAATAACGGACTGGGGTGGGGGGGGGTGTGGTAAGGGGGTGGAGGATTAGGGAGGAGGCAGCGTTGAGCGTTGGTCAAGAGTTAACGAACAATTGCAGCGTGGTTCCGCCATCGCGTGAAATCGGGCCAACCCCGCTGGGGGGGGGGGGGAGGACACGCTCGCGATGGGAGCGCCGAGAGGTAGCGGACCCGCCATTCCGGCCCTAAGCTGCGCGCGCTGCCTCCCAAGCATGAAACCAAAGTCTGCGTGAATCAAACGCAGGACACTTTGGTTAACCATAAATGATTCCAGCCAGTGTAATGATTCAAAGCTATCCAGCCGCACTCGCGCCGTCTGAATAATAGGTCAGGGCGTGCTGGATTCGCTCACAACACAGCACTGTGGAAACGCGGCCCCTGACTTACGGATCACGCGGTGCTATGCAGCCCTTTGCTGTGCAGGGGCCCCGAGTCCGGCCAGGTAAAAAGACCACGTGCGTCTTGGGGGGATATACGGAGCCATGCTCTGCCATCCGCCGCCTATGGTTTACTTTTTTGTTTCAGGGCATTGCCGTCCTCACTGCTTATATTGCCGCAGAGCACAACGACAGGAGCATAGCTCGTGTAAATATATGGCAGGAAAATGGCCAATCAGAGCCGATGTGTTTCACTCCGGCACTGTACGTATCCCGCGTGCCGGTAGTAACGTGGGGATGTAGTGGTGGGGGGGGGGGGGGGGGGGGGGAGGGGGAGGGTTGTCTTTTTGTGAGCACGTCTTGTGCATTGACCTGAACGCGGGTCGACCGCGTAAGTTCTCAATTCTCAGGGAGGGAAGAAGAACGAGTTGGCAGGCGCCGCGTGGGGGCGCTGGCAACAGCCCCTCCACGGGGTTCGCTTACAGCAGCTTGCGTCGGCGTGCGGGGGAAACTGTCGTAAAGCGCACGCCCCCTCGCACAAGAACATCAGCCGGCAGAGAGCGTGTCGGCAAGCAGGAGCGAGAGCCGCTCGACAGATTTTTGTGCCCCCCGCGCAATTGACGCACCGGAAATGTGGCTCATCTCTGAGGACGGGTGCTCAGTCACAGCGCCATGCGGTCCAAGCCAGCCGAGAACCCACGACCCTCCCGCATCTGTAACGAAACACACTCGCAATCGGTCACTGTGTCGGAGCTCTTGGCTTGCCTAAATTATTGACTTTTGGGCTGTACTTAGAACAGCAGTAGTGACTGAAGAGTAGAACACAGTTTTGATTGAAAGCTTTCGTGACTGCAGGGATTCATATTCTTGGTTCTTTCGGTAAAGTCACCACGTAGAAGGGAAACAATAAAATAAAAAAATAAAAAAATAAAATTCTCACGTATATTATTTTATTGTTTCCTTTCTTCGTGACTTTACCGAAAGAAGCAAGAATAGTAGAACACAGTGACTGTCCTCTTGGTAGTGTTTATGCTTCGTGTTGTCCAGCACAATGTCTGACGTTTAATTTCCTTAAGAAAGTCTGACATCACGCTGAACATCACTCCAAAACAACAAGCGGCACACCACAAGAACACTTCGGACACTTAATTCACGAGAAGTAAATGGTCAAGCATTGTGATTTTTGTTGTTTGGAAAACATGAAGTGTGTGAACATTGAGGGCGCTTAATTGATTTTGTCATCCAATATTAAACCGGGTTGGCATTTAAAGAAAAAAATAATGGTTTGCCCAACCCTGACCCCACAACCTCAATTTTATAGCCAGACATCAATTTCAAAAACCTTTTGTCTTCATGAGGACCCGGGGAGAGAGATGGTGTCCACTGTGTGCCCTCACGAGCAAGCCAGAGACGTTAAATTAAATAATGGGGGCTTTTTATAGCCATTGCCAACTCTGCTAAACGTGTGCGCGTTAACGCTGGGGTGCGAATTATTTTAAACCTACAGCCTTGTATATAGATCCCTGTTGAAGTCACATGTAAGCCAGTGACATTTCAAACCGATCTTTTGCTACTGCATATACACAGCTTGGTGCAACACTTTTTTAAACCAACGGAGCGGAAACAAATACGTGGCTTCTTTCTTTACAATCAATTTGCGCATATTTAGCGGAGGTCTATTGCACCACTGCGCATCGGAGAGAGAAAACAGGCTTCAAGTTTGAGAAAAAAAGGGCCAATCGACACCCCCCCCCACCACCCACTTTGCCACCCGTCGAACAATAACCGTGTCCGGGCTACGCAAGTGAACTCAATCGATGTGATTTAACGCCTGTGGAGCGTCAGCGCACAGGGGGGGAGGGGGGGGCGGGTGGTTGCAAGACACGGAGAGACCTCGACGAGCTCGTGGAAATTGAAGGGTTAATAAAAAAAAAAGCAGGCCCAGAAGGAGGCATGGCCGTACAATTTTGATTCACGGCACGAAGCGCCGGACCTGCCTGCCTAGACCGGTAAAGATCACAACGCCATAATAATGGCCACACATGCCATCGACCAGGCCGGGCCCAGTATTACCCCTTCATTATACGCGGCAAAAGGGGGGCGTGTGTCAGCTCGCCTAAAACATTTGTCATTTTGGGCAGACAATGGAGCGATACCTTTAATCAATATCGTATATTTATCCGTTTGTATTATTTGCAATCATTTTAAAAGCGGTACATTCGGCTCGTTTCTAATGGATTTAAAGCAGTTATTTACTTACGCTTTACGAGCAGTGGAATGGGCTTAATTAATTATGAATCTTGTATTAAAAAAAGATATGTTCACGAGACCAAACATAAATAGAAATGTAACCATTATTCATAACGACAAAGGTATATGGAGAATGTAATATCAACATTAATGCGCTGCTTGATTCTGTGCAAAATAGTTTATTCGTTTGCGCCGCATAGTAAAATGAGAAATATTTCAAGTCCTGCCGCTGCTGCTCTTCTGCAGCGAGCTGGCCGGTGGGGTGATTCATGCTCTGAGCAGCGAATGTAAATTTTCAGCGTGCCTGGCATGCTTCTGCCACCCGTTCCAGCGATCAAGTCTTTTTTTTCAAAGACGTGTCTTCCGCACAGTGCACACGTATTAATATATTGCGCAGAATGCCGTGTACAACAAATTACCCACCTCCTCGACACCGATGGAAATTTAGAAGATGCCAAGCATCAATTTACCGTGTGCCTTAAATGCACTGCGCGTGCGTTGTGAGGTGCCCAGGTGGCCCAAGTGATCAGAACACTGAGTCAGCCAGTACTGGCAAGATCCCCGGCTGCACCGATTGAGTGAAAACCGGTTTCTCACGGTGTGCGTAATTGACGGCTCCAGCCCATTCACCAATGACCACTGCACGCGAACCGAGATCAATTATCTTAAAACCAGGTTCTTCACTCAATTTGGCCAAAATTCTAGCAATTTCTATAATGACACGTTTTGGTTTTAGTGTCAGGCGACAAACATCAAGCCCCACCCCACCTTCCCCAACACGTGCACATCTGATTCTTATTGTGCCACCTCGTCACGGGGCCCTTCTCTGACACAAGGTGGTGCGCAACGCTCTGCCAAAATTCTGAACGGACATTTCACTGCCTCCTGCCACGCGATGCCAACAGCACCGTTGGAGTAAAACGGGGGAAGTCTAAGTACGTATGTATTGAACTTCTTTCGCACCGTACGTAGCCAACCGTGCTAATCGGATGTGCGGGGGGAACGCCAAAAAAAATATAAACACAAAAGGCAGTTTTAAATAAATGAGTTTTCAATCTCGAACGTTATGTGCGTACACATATATACTGTACACACATACATATACATTTCACGTCCAGAACACATATACCAACTTCCGATCCACAACCAGGTGTTTGTTCAGTCTTGTTCCGCAATATGGTCTCGTGAAATATTTCATGAGGATGTAACCGACGTTACAGTACGTTCAAGTGCCTCACCAGAGCTCGCTCCAATGGAAGCATCGTGTGAGAGCAACGTCAGGGCTACACAACTTTTGCCTTTCATGTCGGTGTGTCATTTGTGAAATTTACCGCGTTCCTTACTGGATTTCTTTTGACCGGTATACAAATGCTACATAAATTAAAATATAAGCCCAACGGGGGCCACTGACCAAACTTGTTGATCAGTGGGCCCTCTATAAACCCACGTTGAGAAATCAACGATTACTGCCCCTGCGTAGAATATTAACGTTAGATTGCGAGCGATACGTCATTTTCCTATTAAGCGTTGCAGAGTGGGTTTTAAATCAAGTGCGATGGCATCGGATTAGTAGCTACAGTCACGCCAGTGTGATTTCAGATATATATAAAACAATACCAGCAAACGCGTTGACTTCAAATAATTTAGTAATTTAAATGCAAGCGTTTCCCTACCTCGATTATGATTGATAGGCCTCGGTGTCGTGAGAGGGGGAAAAAAAACACCTACAAACTTACCCCGATAACAGTGGAGAATGACAACTCTGAAAGGGAATACGCAGCCAATGACACACCAGCATATTAGAGACAAGTAAATGCACCTTAGTTCTACATTAAATATACATGCTGTAATCACAATTTTAGTTTATGTTTTGCTCCAGTGATGAGTGATCAGGCTATAAGACCATGAACTTGCTATACTCGAGAAGCCAGTTTAATCATGGGTGTCTTGAAACCCAAATTTGAACTGAGGAGCTCAAAACGAGCCAGCTCAGTACCCTGATCGCTGAGGCACCCCATCATCCAGCCACCAACTCACCCCACCACCAACCCATGCATATACCAACCTGCTCAGCCACCAACCCACCCAGCCACCAACCCACCTTACCACCCAGCCACCCAGCGACCAAGCCACCCAGCCATCAACTCACCCCACCACCAACCCATACATATACCAACCTGCTCAGCCACCAACCCACCCAGCCACCAACCCACCTTACCACCCAGCCACCCAGCGACCAAGCCACCCAGCCATCAACTCACCCCACCACCAACCCATTCATATACCAACCTGCCCAGCCACCAACCCACCCCACCACCAACCCATTCATATACCAACCTGCCCAGCCACCAACCCACCCCACCACCAACCCATTCATATACCAACCTGCCCAGTCAACCAAGCCACCCAGCCACCAACTCACCCAGCCACCCAGCCACCCACTCACCCCAGCCACCAACAGATTCATATACCAACCTGCCCAGCCACCAACCCACCTCACCACCAAGCTGCCCAGCTACCAGTCCGCCCCCCAACATCGGCCTGTTTCGACCTTCTGCGCCCGAGAGCTTGAGCTAAATCCATAATCACTGATTGGCCTTGTCAGGATGAAATCACACGATTATCAGAATGTAGAAAGAGACCGATCCAAAACGGTTCGAATGCCGAAAGCTGAACAAGCGTAAAAAGCGGCTTCGAGGCCAGATGCAGAATACTAAACATCGGAGCAGAGCCTATGTGCCGTAAATTGTAACAGCACATGTGGGACAACATATACCACCGGCCTAAGATTTCTGGAAATGTTTAAAGTTTCCCTGGGTGCTAATCTGTTTACTCGTTTCAATGTTATCGCTTTTATTATGGACAATTGATTTATCCAGTGCACCACTGGGAAACTTTCTCGCACAGTTTGGTACCGAGATAATAAATAGCGTCGATGCAGGCGGCCGTTTATTTATGCTTTTACACATTTACCTGGCACCCAGAACCAACATTTATCATTCATCACACGCAGGAGTGAGTAAGTAGTACGTGTGCTTCTAACAAAAAAAATACGTCATGTAAAAATGTTTTGGCAATTTTGCTTCTATCCCCACTGTGGTCGGATGCGGTGAATTGTACGCACTTTTTTAAGTGATACACGGGACGAGGAAAGCGAATTTTATCCTTTTCAACGTAGTAGTTTATCTGTGGCCAGCCACCACAAACATAAGGTATCTGTATATCACTAGATGGCAGTACCTGCCACAACGGCACACCGCAGCCGAGTTATATAATGCAGTGGTTAGTACAACGCGATATGAATCCGCATGGTGACCCGAGCTTAATTGCTAGCCACGGCTTACACCAGTGGCGATTGATATCCGTACACCCCATCTTGGCCTCCTCCCACCCTTCACCACCCTCACTGACCAGGTTGGTGAGGTATGGTAACAAAGATCCCCCGTATAGCCTTAACAGACTG